ATGCGCATGAAGCTTGTTGCGCAGATCTGGTGTTTCAAAACTTTGGTCAAGGTTTTGGCTTGTAACATGACAATTTGTTTGTTTGTGGACTTTTAACAATAGAACATGATAATAATAATAATGAAATAAAAATGATACATTAATAATAATAATAATAATAATAATAATAATAATAATAATAATAATAATAATAATAATAATAATAAATGATAGTAATAATAGTAAATAATAAATGATAATAATAAAATAAATAAATAACAAAAATAATAAATAAAAATTTGAGCTTCATGTATTAATTTAAATATTGAATTTGAATTTAAAATAAAAAATTAATTATTATTATTATTAGAAATGTGAAAGGAAAATATATCAAAGATAAGAATAAATAAACTTTAAACTAAACTAATGACCTAAAAGTAATAAATAAAAACAAAGTTCTAAATTAAAAGAATAATTAATTAAGTAAATTTAAACTAATTTAGTTAAAAGAATATGTAACTAAAATATAAATTAAATTAAATTATAAACTAAATCAGAAATAACTAAAAAAACTATACTAAAATATAAACTAAATTAAAATAATTAATATTTTAAGATAATAAAAATAGATTCTAAAATGGAACGGTAACATGACTAAAAAATTGCATGATTAATAATTAATAGACTACATGACTACAAATGTGAAGATGACTGACCTAAAATGATCTACGAAAGATCAAAGAATTTAAGGGTAAAATTTGGGGTATGACATGTGAGCTCTAGGAAAGATAAATTCTCCTCAAATAGAGACAATGAAAGTTGCAGTACAATAAATAACACTTTTCATGACGAATCTCTCACCTCGAACAATAGAAATCTAAGGTATAAAGGTAAAGCGCACTATTTTTTATTATTTAAAAAAACAAAAAATCATAAATTCCCTCGGTTTTTCATAAAATCAAGGTGAAAAATAACTCAGTACAAGCTTCGATTCCCAACTATCATAGTTTATGATTTTATTTATTTATAAGTGTAAACAAAATGTTCCAACCCTTCAGTTTTCTATTTAATCGAGACATAAAATAATAAGATTTTACTATAAAAGCAAGCACTCGTTAAACAAAATTTACCCTAATCCTTACTAATATGAAGGCGCTCCAAACTCGCAAGCATCACTTTTTAGGATGAATTGCAAGACAGAAAAAATCTTCAAAGTTCTCCTATCTTAAACAATAAATTTTTTCTGCCCTTTATATCCATCTCAACATAATGATGTTGATGTTGTCGTTATTGTATTTTTGGAATAACCCTCACTTAAAGAAGGGGGCTCAACCTTTGAAGCGTACTAAGTTGATAGATTGCAAGTGCATAAAATTATTCTTACTTCAAGTTAAACAAAGAATGAAGGTTAACCAACAAAGAAGAGAGTTTAACTAACAAGGAACAGAGCTTAACCTTTGAACAAAGAAGGAAACACAATTAAATATGGATATCAACAAAAATATTCAGTAATAAGAGCAAAATTTTATTGTAAACAATTTATTTTAATATTCTATGCAAACAATTTTATTTTTAAAAAAAAGAACTATTCACTTCGATTTTATTATAAAAAAGAAATACTGATATATATATATATATATATATATATATATATATATATATATATATATATATATATATATATATATATATATATATATATATATATATATATATATATATATATATATATATATATATATATATATATATATATATATATATATATATATATATATATATATATATATATATATATATATATATATATATATATATATGTATGTATGTATGTATCGGACATGGTTCAATGTTTGTTACAGATAAATTTATGCTAAAAAGGGCCTCATAAATATTTTCTAGTGGAAAATCGTAGTTAAATAAGGCCATTTTTTCTTTATCATGGCTAAATTGATTTTAGTTTACATAGAATTTCTAAAAACTTTAGACGACTTTGTATATATGAGTGTTCGTGAGTTAGTTTGTCAAATTTGAAGAAATTTAATATCCAACCCAACCAATAGTTGTTGATTTGAGTTGAGTGTTTAACTCGCACTTCTAAAACTAAATCCAAACCAAGCCAACTCATTCGTTAATAGACTGGATTGGATTGGTTTCGCGGATCATCCACTATTTTTGTTTAATATTATTAAAAAAAAATCAATTTAAGTCACACATTTATTTTACAAAAGAATTAAGACATCATAAAATTTTAGAATTTAATTTGAATAGAGTACATCATTTAATACCTAAAACTCTTTCTAAATCTAAATAAAGTTAAAAATGAAATACAAATTGTGTAAAGGATAATTTAAATAGTAAAATATATAACTCTTTCAATAAATTAATTTAGTCTCTCAAAGTTTATTTAGGCTTAGATTTTTATAATTAATAAAAACTACAATTATATTTTAAAAAAATGATCTATACATAGTAGGGATTTTTGTTGATCGTTTATAAAAAAACTAAAATAAAAATAATTTGACATATTAATGTGTTGAATTCGCGGATTCAACATTTCAAATTCGTTACTCGAATCAAATATCAATGAGTTTGAATGAGTTGGTTTGATTTGGACCAATACATAATTGTGTTGAATTATAATAAAGAGTTGAATTGATTTGAATGAGTGAATTTCTTAGTTCGTAGACTAATATGTAACTATGAATACTTCTCTTTCTCTTTATATATATATATATATATATATATATATATATATATATATATATATATATATATATATATATATATATATATATATATATATATATATATATATATATATATATATATATATATATATATATATATATATATATATATATATATATATATAATGTAATAATTTAAAGACATCAATATTTTAAAATTTCAACTCAATTGTAAAGTAAAAATATATACTTGTGTCATAGTACATAAATTATCTCACTAAATTATTAAAACACATATAACTTTTAAAGTTGTTAAAATTAAAATATATAATAAAAGAAACTTACTCGGATAAAACTGCTTTAGATTCAAATTGATTTTAGAGAATTTTTTAGGTACTAACTTAGGTAAATTCAAATTTAACTTATACAAATTTAATTTTACAAACAATTTAACTCAAACAATTTAATGCATTGGGTTGATGTGATAGCTCAAGTGATGTGTATTAATTGAGCCAATTGAACATATATTGTTGGTTCACAATTTAATTTTGAAAACAATATTTCTTTATAATTATGTATTAATGAAAAAAGTTATTAATATTTATAAATAAATAAAAAACAATTTTATGAATTTAAACCACGTGTTTTAAGTTTAACCACCTTAATCGCAACATCAACGTCACTTTAACAACTTTCCTGTAGCCTATGTGAACCTATATCATGTAGACTATTTTAACAACCTTTTCACAACATAAACGCTAATTACCACCTCAAATTTGTTTTCACAAGTTTCATGTAGAGAAAGGGTGGATAAATTTAATCCGACCGATTGAAATTGATTAATCTGTTGTTTTTTTCAAATGGATTAAATCAGTTAAATGTCGAGTTGATTCAATTGTTTAATTTGAATAATATAAAATTACTTTGATTGAGTTCGGGTGATTATTTTAAACCTGACGAAAATCAAAATCAACCGAATTTAATTAATATATATATAATTTATTTATTTTTATTATTAAGTATTATTTAATTTATGAATTAAAGTATAATAATGATCATAATTGATATATAATATTGAAAATATTATCTCGTAATAATAAAAAAATAATTCTATTTTAAAAATGTGATATTTTTTATAAAAACTTAAAAATAAAAATTATTTTTATAAATTTATTTTAATAAATATTAAACGGACTAATTCGAGCCAATTTAATCGTCAAATCAATTTAACTGAATTCAACAAAAATCAAAATTTTATCAATTAAAATTGAACTATAAAAATAAAACTGTAATTTATGTCAGATTTAAATTTTAAGTCCGAAATGAACCGAACACGACCAATTGTCGGACCCTAATTTAATTTAGACTATTGAAGTTAGATCATGTAGAATGCCTCTCCGTAAATAGCTTATGTAATTCCACATCGTCGCATTTCCGTGCACGGTAGTCACGTGATGCACCTAACTCCAATCTATGCACTTCAATAATTGCCATCACACTCCTCTGCCTGTCGTGGCTCTCCCTACACCTCACTAATATCACTGGTTGCTAATTTGTTTCATAAACAACTTTTCTTATTGTTATTGTTACCATTTTATATATGAATAAAAAATATTTTATTGTTATTATTCGATATTCTATATTTTCTTTTTGTTTTTCTTTTATTTTTTAAATAAAAACAGTTAATCTTAAGAAAATAATAATATTATTTAGTCACTCGCGCAACCCACGGTGCATATAGTTTATAATTTACTACTACTACATTTAAAACCACTTTTCTTGGTATAAGCTTTTATTACCTGAATAGACAACATTGAAAAAAAAAACTCTTCAGTTTCTGTGTCTAAGAAGCTTTGTGAAGTTCTATCTATTCAATTTGGGGAATAAATAATTCCTCATTCATCTTGCTGCATACACTTCTCCAAATCACATTGTTAAGGTTTACTCTTGTTCTTATTATTCAATTATATTGTCATGCATGCTTACAACGGAAATTCAAGAATTGTTTTTAACTACATTCATGATAGGAATTTCAGTGACAAAATTAAACACCAATTTCAAAACCTAGTTTATGAAGTTGGTTTAAGAATAAGTCGTAAGAATAATGGATTTGGATCTCTACAATAGAAGTTATAGGACGGTTAGATTTAGTTTTCTCTTTGATACAAATTACAATAGACTTTTTTTTTCAAATAGGCTAGTGGTTTGAATTTCACGGAATAAGTGAGACGTTGCGAGTTTGAATCCACACTGATTTAACTAGACTAGTACAACTTAATTGTTGAACACTTTCATGTTTTATGTAACAAATGCATGCTTTTGTAGGTAATCATGGATTCATATGAAGTGAATACGGAGATTCCAACAGGGGAATCAGCAGTTGAAGAAATTGATATCATTAGCACATTACATGAAAGCATTCTCGGTCACATCCTATCTTTCATTCCAATCATAGACGCCGTTCACACTAGCGTCCTATCAAAAAGATGGATTGAAGTTTGGACATCAATAACAAGCCTAAAGTTTGATGATAGTTTGCTTCATTATGAAAAGAAGTTGCAAAAACAACAGTTTGTGAATTTTGTTGAGAAAGTACTTTTTCAATTTACTAATTCAAGCATCCAAAGTTTCTCTCTTTGCTTAACTAGTTATCAATATGATGCATCTCTGATAACTGCATGGATTTCATTTATCTTAGAATCAAGAATTCAGAAGCTTCATATTCAGTATGCTGATAAAGTTTTCCTTTCTTCGAGTTTACTCTTTACTTGCGATTCTCTAATAGAATTGGTGCTTCAAATGAAATGTACTCTTAGTCTTCCCATATCCTCTTCTCTCCCAAATCTTCAAAAATTTAGCATATCTGGGATTAAATTAGTAAGTGATTCTTCCGATTCCTCAAAAGATATAACTCTTAGTTTCCCAATTCTTAGAGTGTTTGAAGCTAGAGGGTGTGAATGGTCAACTAAGCAGAACATTAGTTTACAAGTGCCTTTACTTGAGAGGTTTTCGATTGCTATATGGAACCGTCAATCGAATGAATCATGTAATTTTTCCATCAAGGTTTATAGTCGATGTCTAACGGATTTCTGTTATGAGGGTGATCTCGAACAGGATATCATTCTATGTGATTCTCCATCGATTCGTAATGCTTCTATTGTTATTGTTATGGATGAAGACAAGGAGGACAGAATGGAAAAACTTGGGTTTCAAGCCAGTAATCTTTTCAGACAAATCCGTAATGTGGAACGACTGAAATTATTGTTTTACAAGGTATGCTTGTCTTTTATGGCGCATGAATGACAATAGTTTCTCAGAATTTGAACAAATTGTTCCTTGTCTTACAGGTTTTTAGGCATGCTAAAGATATTTTCACCAATATGCCCGTCTTTGGAAGGTTGAGATATCTGGAACTAAATGAAGTCAATGGCATAGCTTTGTTGCAATTACTCAATAATTCGCCAATTCTTAATACTCTTGTTTTGCTTAATGTAAGTTTAGTTACTCACTCTTTTGTTCAAACAAATTCAAAACTCTTGTTTATGTGTTTAGAATTATTTATCCTAATAGATAACTCACGATACACAAATTTCAGGGAGTAGCTGACTTAGATAAAGATGTCTTTACTTCTGCAGCGGTGCCTCACTGCTTTCTGTCAAGCCTCAATGTAATTCGGTTTAAAGGTTTTAATGCAAACGAGCATGATCTCTGTCTGGTAAAATTCATGTTAGCAAATGCAGCAATGTTGCAGAAGATGACGATCTCGCCAGCATTTTGGCTGCGATATGCAGATATTGATTTGGAAAACGTTAAGGAGCAGATACTCTCAGCACCAATGTGTTCTAGCTTTTGCAAGATAGAGTTTTCTGATATCAGAAGTTGATGAAGATTTTCAGAACACCACAAGAATATTTGTGCCACAACTCTTTAACGTATTTATTTAGTTTTAGTGTAATGCTTTACACTACATTATAGCAATGCAAAATGTAAGAGGTGTTTTTCTTCATTCTGTTGGTTTTCTAGTAGTTAGTTATTTATCATTAGAATGCAATTGAGAATGTTATTTATCACATTGAACTCTAAGCCATACCATATGCGATTTTTGTCCCATTTACAAAGTTCCACCTCAATCTATTTTTGTCTTGGAGTACTAAATTTTTTTATAAGTACATAACTTGTTTACTATGGAACCGTCCCAATTGCACCAGAAGCATTTATGGTGATCACCATCACCAGACCAATCATTTTCAGTTCCAGTAGATATATCATTAAAACTCCATAAATAGTTTCGTTGGATTTAATGAAATTATAAGATGGATAACCTTTTAATTTTGTTTGTTGTAAAAGTGTATGAGTGAGTACATAGAACACTCAAAAGATCTATGCTGGGATTAAAGAATATTTTTGGAATGGAAGCAACAAAACATGAGTGTAAAGAGATTGAGTTCGAAATTTTGACATAAGAAAAACAAATAAAACGACACTTCCCATTTTTTGAAGTAGTCCTACAAGCATTATTAGGATATGTGTGACATGTTGTAAAATAGGAGAATGTTTGAAAGTTATGTGCTGAAATGTCATAGATAGGTTATGGAGGGAGATCGTGTGTCTTAGAATTTGGGTTGGATCTAACTCATCCCTATAAAATCGGCTTGTAAGGTGAAGATTGTCCTCACTTAAAAACACAACACAGACCATATCTCTAAACAATGTGAGACTAAATTCACCCCTTCAAAACTAACACAGTGAAGGTGTTAGAGGCCCTAAATTCACCCTTTCGAAACTAACACAATGAAGGTGTTAGAGGCTGCAATGAGGCAAGGCAAAGTGCCGCAATTAAGGCGACTAGGGACGGACCGTAATTAAGGTGGAAAGTCCAACACCCCCCCTCACCTTGGGTCTCAATGAGCCTGAAGCGTGGATGACGCGGAAAGTCCAACAATGAATTTTGGATAGACTCTGATACCATCTCAGAATTTGGATTGAGTCTAACTCATCCCTATAAAACCGGCTTGTAAGGTGAGGATTACCCCATTTATAAACACAATACATGTCATATTCTCTAGGTAATGTGGGACTAAATCCACCCCTTTAAAGCTAACACAATGAAGGTGTTATGGGATGTAATCAGGCAAGCCAAAGTGCCGTAATTAAGGCGACTAGGGACAGACCACAATTAAACCGAAAAGTCTAACAGTGTGCCATCATGGTGTTCCTCACTTAGAGAGATTAATGACTAAAATTGTAGTAACTATTTCCTAAGTTCAAAGACATAATCTTCAATTTTTTAAAACAAAATGTCAATGGCAAATTTGTCTTTCACAATTAATATTTTAGGGTCTTTGTTATATTATGTGTAAAAAAAACATAAAATGTTATCTTTGAAAAAAGACTGATATGAAAAACCTAAAAGAAAACATGATCAAAAGATGTGAAATAAAAAATTGAAGAATATACGCGGTCGAAATGCCTCCATCAATTGTCTTATAGATTTTTGGAAGAAGTGTTGGGCAAGAATATAGGGATGATATAGTCTAAAAGGGGGGTTGAATAGACCAATCCCTTTATATCATTTTTTTTAGTAAATTCTTTTACCAAATCAGAGTTTCAAGTGTAGAAGAATAATGTAATAGGAGGAAACAAAAATATAGCAGATAGATTAAAACATTATATGTTTCATTGTATTCATAAGAAGAATGATTCAATCAATATCAAAAACAACGGAGAAAAATCAATTTTCTTTACCAAGCAATTTAAATCCAACATCTTAGAGATAACACAATCTTAATTGAGATAAAGAATGTTCAATGAATTAGATGCATGTCCGACCTACACTTATATGATAAAATACTATAAGCAAAATCTAATTCTAGATGACATTCTAAAGATGAATGATATCTCACATACATGATAATACATAGAAAACTAAAAGAGATAGAGAAAGAAAAATGTACACTAGATATATAGTGGTTTAGAAATTCTTCCTCGTTGTGCCTACCGCACTCTTAAATGATTTTCACCATTGAAAATGATAATGTCTTCCATTATTTTAACGTTTAAGATATAAGTATTTTGGCACAATGAATTATCATCAACTCGAATACTAATAACCAAATGCTTTAGCCAACGCATATCTGAAATGACAATTTATTCTATTGATGCAGGTTACTCAACTTCTAATACTAAATATCTTCAATGATCTTAATCCAGTAAAATTGCTAGCCAAAATCATGGTTTCTCTTAAGATTCTTGACAAAGAAGTATTTGATGAGAATAATATATCAAGTGTGAGTTAGATTCCCATGTTGGTTATAAATATGGAGAGTTGAGCATTTATAAGTGAGAGAACTCATACACCTATCAACTTAAGGTTTTGGGTGAATATGTAGTGTCTCTCTCACATGTGTTGCTCTAATACCACTATTAGGAAAGATTTTCACTAGAGAGTATTGAACATTGGGTCAAGAGCAACACAAGTGAGAAATACACCACATATTCATCCAAAACCTTAAGGTGATAGGTTTATGGGTTCTCCCACATGTAAATGCTCAACTATCCACATTTATATATTATTCTCAATACTCCCGCTCGAGTAGAATCTCTTTTACCCACATACACTTGTACCGCCGTTGACACCTATTATTAAGAACCTCTTACTAGGCATTTTGATACACCTCTTTCTGGGTATTACGATTTCAATGGGACACCTCTTCATGGGTATTTCGATACAAGTAAGTCGGTCCCTTACGAACCAAAGGCTCATGACCCAATGTTAAATGCTCCCTGGTGAAAAAATCCCTCAACAAATGGTATCAGGGCCTTTGGTTCGTAAAGGGACTGACTTACTGGTATCAAAAGTATCCCCACAGGTCGTGGATAAAGTGTCTCGTTGAAGAGTATCAAATGCGGTACAAGTGTATGTGGAAGTAGAAAAGAGCTTTTGCTTAAAGGGGAGCATTGTGGATAGACTCACACTTGAGGAAGAGTGTTAAGTATAACAAGTGTGAATAGTATGGATAATAGTCCTACATTGGATATGAATATGGTGATTTGAGTATTTATAAGTGAGAGAACTCACCCACCTATATCACCTTAAGGTTTTGGGTGAATATGTGGTATCTCTCTCGCTTGTGTTGCTCTTGGCCCAATGTTGATACTCTTCCTCATACCCAAACAAATGATATCATGATCCTTTGGTTCATAAAGGGACCGACTTACTTGTATCGAAATGCCCATAAATAGGTGTCTAATTGAAATCGTAATGTCCAGGAAGAGGTGTATCGAAATGCCTAGTTAAAGGTGCCTAGTAATAGGTGTTAACGGCGGTACAAGTGTAAGTGGACAAAAGAGATTACACTTTGTTAGACGAAGACAATGATCTAGAAGGAGGGTTGAATAAATCACTTATTAAAAATAGAGTCGGCGCTTATTAAGATTTGGATTTTAAAAAGTTTTAAGTAGAAGCGACCGAAGAATTATACTCGTCTAAACGATCCATTACCAAAAAGATTGGATATACGCAAAGCTTATATGGAGTACCGATAAAGACGAGAATTAGAATCAATAGTTTGAACACAAATTAATCAGATTTTGTTCACTTAAAGTTGGACAGTTTCCAATGTATGTGAAATATAAACCAATTGAAAAACAGCTTAAGTGTTTGTGTTCACACAATTAGTCGAACACTTGGTGTGCGAAGCACCTCAAGTAAATTTCAGTAGGTGAATGAAGTGCTATGTTCTTCAATTACAATCAAAAGATTGTAATGAAATTTCTAAAAATGATTCAGCACTAACACACACCAGAATTTTAGACAACTAATATCTTTGCATATAAACTCAAAATTCAATAATGAAAATAGTAAAAAGAGAGAACACCAATTTGTTGAGGCAGTTTCACCGTCGTTCTCGCTCGGGGTACGTCTGCCCTCAATTATCAAATTAGAATTAAGACATGTATATATAACCAGTTGCAAATTGTTTTTACAAGAGAAGCAATAGAATTCAAAAAATCAAACCCAAATGTTGATGTCGAGCCTATGCCTTCTCTTCCCTTGATTCAAGATGAATCAAGTCCTTCAAACATGATGAGTAAACCTCCGATTACGACACCACCTTTGAACAACCCTCTGGTCTTCAAATCTTGCCCGACTGATTTCAAACACCAACGATTCAAACCCAAACCTTCCTACCACAATCCTCCGGTTAACGCTACTAAATTGACAGAACCTCCCGTTCTTCAATTACCTTCGCTCGACTGAATCTGTGAAGGAACGATTTGTGCAAAACCCCCAAAATCTAAGATTCTTGGAGGACAAAACCCTCATGGTTTTATTCAAGAAAAACCCACTGATTTTTCAACGCAAACCCGATACACCAATCCTAAGTTTGGATGTTATCACCTCGATGATGCAGAATACACAACAAAAACGATAATGTGTAGTTGTTGAGAAAATGCAAGAAAGAGGATGAAGATGATGAGAACCAAATCAATGTATATTTTTCACTTTTCTTGTTCTTTTTATGTAGAATGAACTAACTAAATATATATGCAAAGTTGAAACCAAATAACCAACACAACAATCACTTTGAATGTTAAGCATAACATAAATTATGTGAGAAACGCACAAGCGGTCGACCTAAAATAAGGAGATGGTCGACCTGAGCTCTCCCGAATTCAGGATTATGCAGGAAACAACTCTTTGCATCGACCGGAGCAGGTCCACGCGTCGATGCAAAGCACCCCAATTTTGACAAGCACAAATGCATACAGTATGAGTCGACCGGAGGGTCGACGCGAGCTCTCCTGAGAGCAAGACATGAAAATTGACTTTTGTATGAGTCGACCTAAGCATGCTATGAGTCGACTCAAAGACTCAGAACT